ACCGTCCCACCGAGCAGAAAGGCTGCCCCGGGTGGCCTGGTGTGGTGCCAAAGTCCTCTGCTCCTGAATCCCCATGGGGCAGAGGGGTGCATTTCCTGCACCCAAGACCTTTGCTTTCTGTGTCATCAGCCATCTGTCCTGTGGACAGAACAGCCACGGTGCTATTGGAATAAAACGGCTTTCTGGAGGGTGAAGGAAAAAGATACGGAGCCGGGGGGGGGAAGAGGAGGCTGGGAGGGGGCAGGAAGCAAGTAGTAATCGCTGTCTGGATCGTTGGGAAAACAGCGGAGAGAACTGAGCAGCAGTCATGGGCTGGCTCTGACTGGTGCTACTGGCTCTCGGGGCTCAGGCAGGTTATGTAGGTGCCATTCCCAGGCTTCCCCGAGCAGGGAGCGAGGCCTCCCTGGGGAGGTTTGGCCTCTCTGGGGAGGTTTGGCCTCCCTTACAGGGCCGTGTCTTGATGTGCTGCTGTGTGTGAGGCTGAAGAGCAGCTCACAGCCCCCCGCCCCCAAGGTGTGCTCCCTGCAGTGGAGGGGGCGCTGATGGTGCAGCATCCTCTGGGAAGCCTTTCCAGCCCCCCTGCACCCGTCCCCGCTCGTGGGGATACACCGCAGGGTGCCTGGACAGCCCCCAGAGCCAAGGGTGTGGAGCGTGGCCTCGGGACGAACTGTGGCGGTTTGTCACCAACCTTTGCAGGAAACACAAGAGGCCCCCAGACCTGCATGCCTGCTGGGGGAGAGCTGGGGGCGGGGGGGAGGAAAGGGCTCTGCAGGCTCGAGGAGGGCCTTGGGGATCTTCTGGTACCTTCCAGGCCACCTTCACATCCACCCTAAGGTTGCTGAGGGTCCTGATGAGTTCTGAGCATCCCCAAGGGCTGTCACAGGCCCCTGGGCCCTACCTGCCTGGCTGCTGGCTCTTCCCAAGCCTGAGGACATGGGGACTGCCCGCGTAGGCAAGGACAGAGCGGCACATCTCTTACCCTCTCTCCTTTCCCCCCTGGAGGTGCCTGGGCCAGGCAAAAAGACACATTTGATGAAAAATTGGCTGCCCTGGGCCTGAAGGGTGAGGACCCCTGAGCCCTGGGGTCCCCCGACACAGCTGAGCTTGCAGGATGGGGACGTCTCTCTTTTGTCCTTTTTTATTTATTTTTTTTTTTAATTGTGTCTTAGTGGATCTGGGACAGCTGGAGGTTGGAAATTAGTTGTTTCCTTTCCTGTTTATGTTTGGCTTTAAAGAAATAAACCCCCCCTGACTTGCTGCCTGCTGCCCCACCAGCCCTGCCCCCCCCGGGGTCACAGCCTGGGCCCCTGCCCCAAAGGAGCACTGGGGTTCTCTCTTGTTGGGGGGATCTGGTGTTGCTCCCCCCTTTTTTCTCTCCCCAGGCTCCCGGGTCCATGTGTGGCCCTGGGCAGAGCCAGGGATGGGGGCTGAAGGGCTCATGGAGGAGCGGGGGTTCCTGTCCCTGTGGGAGCCCCCCTGGCCCAGGCACCTGCAGCCAGGCTGGGCAGGGAAGGGGGGGGCACAGGGGCCTGGGCCCAGCAGGGCCACGCGGTGCCCAGACCCACGAGT